TTAAATACGCGTTTCAAATATAGAGACTATGCAAACGCTGACTGGGAAAACTTTCAATTCCTAATAAAGCATTCTGACTGAGCAGTTTCTTTGCCAGTGATAACCTCCTAGAAACATTTGAAATATTCAATACTACCAGTAACTCTGCACTGGACACTACAATTACACCCTATATCAACCAAAAGACCAAGTCTAAGCTGCGAAAAAAAAGGCGTACCATATATCAAATGACTTTAGTGCCCTGTATCAGATATACTCTGTTTTTGAAGGAGTGCAAAGTCAACACAACAAACATGAACAGGCAGAAGAACGTACTGCGCTCACTGCTGCATCTAAAGCCCAAAACTTATGTCATGGAAAAAGTGATACAAAATCAGCTATTCGATCACCTACTTAGAGAAGATCTAATATACCTGTCACAACACGGCTTCATTAGGACAAGGTCTTGCAGTACATGTCTGATATACTTCTTTAACGAGGTTACTCGCATACGTGACCAAAAGAAACTAGCGGTTACACTATATTTCGATATTAAGAAAGCCCTTGATAAGGTGCCTCATAACTTCCTGTTCAACAGACTTCAGTCAGTTGGAATTACGAACCGCCTATTGCAATGGATCAAGTCCTTTCTCACAAACAGATACTAAATAACCAGAATTAAGTCGACAATGACTACACCTCGACCAATAACCAGTGGTGTTGTTCAGGGTAGTGTCTTGGGTCCATTGCTCTTTATAATCTACATCAGCAATATATGCAAGTGCTTTAGAACAGGTAAAACCTATCTCTACGCTGAGGACTTAAAAGTCATCTATAAAACTGACATATGCGATGTACGTAGTAATAGGCAAACAATCCAACATGGTAGACAACTGGTGCAAACGCTGAAGGTTAGAGGTCAACACAGAGAAATGCGGCTTCCTACGCATAGGAGACACGTCGCTTAAAACGAAACCAGCACTTAACAAGAGCACGCTGCCCAGACTGATTTCAGAAACTGACCCAGGGGTACATTACTCACACAGTCTTGACTTCTCTGAACATATTTCAACTAAAGCATCTAAAATGCGGAAGTCGATTGACTTCATTCTTCGTAATTTCTTTCAAAATGAATCTAAAATCATTCTTTATAAAGTTTGCTTGAATATCTGGGCTACCTGTTCCTCCCATCTAGATATTTCGTCAAGTTATCTGTTTTCTTGTTTGTTTTGACACACTATTATGTCTATTGAGCTCACAACCTATTCAGGCGCGTTTACGAAAAGTTTACAACCTTTCGCTGTACGGATTACAAAAAGGTACAACCAGCGACATCATGGTGGCTTGCAATATGCATTGAAACGAATGAACATTATTCAGATGTCGATTATCGAACTCCTAACATCTAACTGGCCATCACTCAATATTTATCGTCAGGATCAAGATATAAGAAAAGGAAACTTGTTGAAATACTTTATGCTGAGAATTCAATAGTGTACCACAAATATAATGTTGAATAAAGCTTATAATAATAATATCTGTCGTTGAATAATGTTCGTTCTTATTTTTCAACCTACGGCTATCCGATATGCTGAAGGTGGATGGTATACGATATTTCACTCGCAAAATACTTAAGAACGACTCACTCATTGAATACAGTTCCCGATGCCAAATCTTAAGACTAGAACTCTTGTGGCTTATGTCTAATTTTATTCTCTATTTCAAACTACTCAAAAACCTTACTTATTCCACATATAATATGGCTTTTACCCAAGACACACAAGAATATGACCTTCGAGACAAAGTATCCACTGCCAAAGTTGAGAAATACAGATCGAAAACCCTGGAAAATTTATTTCCCATTTAGTATGCATTAATATGGAACAGTCTTCCCTCCGAAATACGCATGGCAGATGGATTACATACGTTTGTAAGACTTACTGATCAAGCCCTCACTTGCACAGGTCTAGCACAAACGAACACATCTGCTAAACACAGACATTATAGGCTCTCCACATGTATAGACCAAATTGCGTTAGTTTCCTACTTTGTAGTTGTATTAGATACTTATTCCTCACTAATTTTTTACTTGAAGCAGACAGGTAACTCACTGGACCTATCGATTTTTGGTACCTAAGAGACGCTCACTACTAACCTAAAAAGTCTAAAGAACCACACAATCGACTGCCTACTACCAGTGGTCTTGAATCTGTGGAACCTGTTACCCATTAACCGGTTAGGATAGAACAAAATAACATCAACACCAAGTTAATATGAGTTCCTTCTTGTCTATTCCTTATCAGTTCACCTGCTCTTGTGGAGCAAGGTACATTGGCCGTAGCCAGCGCTCGCTTTCAACTCGGATACGGAACATATCTCAGCTTGGTTCTATAAGGGTGAAAGGAAAGCAGTTAGAAGTTCTATATTTGAACACATAACCGACTGCAACCATTCCATGGATACATATTTTGATTTTAAGGTTGTGTATATGATTCGTTCAAATCTATCCAGATTTCTCCGTATCCAACTCTTAAAAATAACCTAAACTCTTGTCATCCAGGAGCTTAAACCTGAACTATGCGTACGAAAGAAGTACGTCTTATCGTTATCGTTACCTTGGCCTTAAGTATTTTGATTATCCTATTATTATTATTGCTGCATTCTCCCTTTACTTATGTCTTATATCCTCATTATTTTATTCGTAAATGCTCGTCATATCACCTTATTTATTTTTACACCTCTATGGCCTTTAATGACCTTTAATTATTTTAACAAAAACATTTTAATCATTTTATTCATATTATTATATCCGCTAACTCTATTATTATTATTCGTATTACGTAATCCCATCGTTCATTTGAACTTACTCTACCTTGGTAAATATCACGATTCATCACTCTTTATTACTGCATCCTCTTATCTGAAGGTCCAAAACACATTTTGGGTAACAGGTTCCATAGATGCAAGCCCACTGGCAGTAGGCAAGGGATCGTGATGTTCTCCTGACAACTATTTAGAGTATTAGTAAGCGTTCTTTAGCGGTCGACCATAATTGATCAGTCTCGATAGGTCCAGTGTGTTACTTGTCTACCGCAAGTAAAATTTAAGGAGAGAAATATGTGTAATACAACTGCTAGGAAGAAAAGTAAGGGAAAATAACCTTAGAGTCTAATATGGTCTACACATGTTGAGAGCTATTATGTCTGAGTGGGACGCAGATGTGTCTGCGCGTGCTAGGTCAGTGCAAGCGAGGGCTTCATCAAGAAGTATTAAAGGCATATGCAATCAATGTACCATGTGTATTTCAGAGGACAGACTGTCCCATACTAATGCATACTTGACGAGAAAGAGGATTTCTAATAATTGACCTAATTCTCACTATGAAACATGGATTCAAGTTTTCATCAATCTTACCACAACTTGTACACCTGTTATTACACTACCAATTTGTACTCCTTAATGTTATGTTTACGTAATCTATTCCACTGTTATTACTGCATCATAAAGTGCTTTGATTGGCTTAATTATTCAGTATATGCATATAAATATAACTGTATATCAGCCTGATAAGTATCTGATCAAAAACAGTATAAAGAAAAGTTTGGACGATATTCAATGTTATTTCGTTGACAGTAGTTAAAAATGTAACCTACTAACATTCAATGTGTGAGACATTTTCATAGTTCACTACTACAATGTGTAAAGTTATCTGGTCAACTAGACTGTTTTCAGACAGTCCTTCGCTGATATAGATGAAAATGTGAAATAATCGAGATAGAAATCCGAATATGATAAAAAATTTAAAATAGATATCAGGAAAGAGTTCAATAAAATAAATGATGATGCATATACGCTTGTTATTTATTACATCGACTTCTACGTCTGAAAGATTTCACATCACCCAGAAAATTATACAGCCTTTACTACTGGTAACTGGTAGAAAACAAACACAGAACTGGTTACAAACTTATAATAACCAGCAAATGGGAGTAAATTGTCAATGATGGATGTCAAACAGAGCCATAACATCGTGTATTGTCTTTCAGCCACCAAAGTTCTGTTTGGAATACTTTGTTTTCTAAGCATGCAAACCAGAAGATTCGATCAGCGACAAAAAAGAATAAATAAACCACGCATGTGCAACAAAATGATTAGATAAGTCAGCAAATGGATTTTTATGTATAGTACAGATAAACTGATAGATAAATATACGAGCAGGCACACACTGAGATGATAGCATGTATGGGAGGTGTAGCTACACAAAAGTTTTCAATTCATCACATCAAAATGAACTTGAAATGATTTGCTATATTGAAGCAATACATTTATTAATGACACGAGTTGAGCGTGTTGGCGTGAGATCTCTCAACATGAAGCTTTGGTAGTTCGTTTAGGTTTCCTGTCTAGTCAGCCTAAGTTGACTTGAATCTAACTAGCTACTAAGTGGTACTACTTTTATCATCAGGCTGCCCATAATTATATTTTACCCCAATATTCATTTATGTAACCCTGTTCATTTTCTAGCATTCTCGTTACATCTAAATTACGTTGTTTCGCTTTTACCATGAAAATTATCCCGCTTATAGATTTTGAGGTTTCTCCGATCCACATGCCTTTTCATTCACTTAGTTATCAGAAATGCTGTCTATTAACCAGGTTACGACGATCCCCATCTGTCACATAATTGTCTGAAAAACGTATAGTTACCCCATAATTATTTGTTCACGAGAGTTTGGTCGGCTTGACGATTCATCCTTGGGCCTTAACTCTTCCTGAGAGTTTCCTCCTTCTTATAAATGAAAAACCAATTGAGAAAATATTATTTTGCTCATATAATTTTGATAACTTGATATGAAATATTGAATGTGGTGAACTGAATGATGTACATAGTTTTGAATGTATTGTCTTTAAGCGATTTGATGACTTTAAAATTCTAAGTTTTTCAGCGTGTTTCATCAAATTGAGCTTAGTATCACAGTTTTACGACCTTGTGTTTTTATGCACTCAAGGTCTCATCTATCACGTGCGCCAGGGTCACGAGGCGTAGGCCATGGCAACGGAATGGTTATTTATGTGTTTTGTACCCGTTTGGGCATGATATTCATCATAACTGTCCCTAAAAATAGTTAACATTCTTCCTAAAGATTAATTCATTGTTTTGAATGCTTTGATGCCATCGAAAATCAGGATTGTTTCGGAGGGATACGCTCGGTATCGTGATGGTAAGAAGGTAAGTAAGAAACCAGCTGTACCTAGATTGATTTTTGATGAATGCTTAACGAGCTTTTTTGTTTTGTTCTAGTGGAAGAAACGTTACTGCGTGTTGTCACTCTCACCAACTACTCCAGGTGAGTTCATGATTATTATTAAATTGTTTCATGATTTAATTAGGATTTATTGAATAAATTAAGTTATTTTTCGATTACTTTGTCATACTTGTAGTTCCTCACTCCCTCAAATATCCTCTGTTTGTTGTGTTCTCGAGTTGATAGTCATTACTCACCTAAGATACTACCACAACCTCACTACTCGCTCGATCTCGTATCACGTTAAGTAAACGGTAATGTGTCAGTCTACAAAGTCTGGATTCAGACCAAGTTTGTATGAAATGGCGCATACCCGTTAGGTGGGATCTGTATAACGGTTGTAATTCGTGGTAAGGATTCGTGGTTACTTAGCTCGAAAACGATATCAGTGACGCATGTGTCCATTCTGTATCTTCCTCTAAATATTAAATATGGTCTTATTCAGTGGACTGTATTCTCAGATGCAAGTTGTTTCTTTTGGATTGTAGTTTTTGTTTGTTCGCAATCCCATCTTTACCAATATCATGTTTATAATCTTTTTTGGTTCTCATTGACCTGTGCCGGCTCATGCTTGTATTTAATTTTATGCTACTTGTGTTCGTTTGTGTAACGTCATCCAACCAACCAAGTTATATGTGTTCTGTTATCATATCAAAATACATTTGTGGTTCATCCTAACGACTCGCTTAATCTTGCTAATCATTCATAAGTGACAGTACTCATGAGTTTAATTCTAGCCCATAACGCAAAGCCGCATTTGGTTACTTAAATACGGCAACTGTTTCCTAGATTCTCATATTGAAAGCGTTAGTTAACTCAATATTCAGACTTACCGCCCGCGTTGTCATTTTATCTTAGCTTAGGGTGTGGAACAAAGGGGTACCGAATACATATGCGCCACACAAGTCACTTGATTTTTGTGTGGGCTGTGTTGCTATACGGGTACCCAGATCGAAGCAGCTGCTTTTCTTAAGGGGTCACACTCAGAGCCTTCGACCTAACGCTCTGACCTACAAAGCATCCAGGCAACGTTGGAAGATGCAATCCCATGGTAGCCGGTGGCCAATAATTGGTCCATGCACCACTTGGTATGTCAGGATCTTGGATCCCATGTGCTCCATTGGTTTGGTATCAGGGTTTCCCAGCTCTCCTTGGTGGGCCCCCGTGTCCACCAACCCAGTTAAGGCGCCGGACATTCGCTTTTCGTCCTGTCGATTTCGTAAACAAAAGTAATGCCGCGAGAAGGTAGTGAGTAGGACTTCCTTGACAGTGGCTGCATACGCGTGGCCATATGAAAGCATTTCGAGAGGTGGAGCTGACTTTCTCAGCCCTCAGCTGTACCGGTGCATTTGGAAACAACAATTCAAGGATGTTTGGGATTCGTTTTTTCTCTAAATCCATAATGTTGCTTTAAGACGCCTACATTAACGTATATATTGATTATCGGGGGTGAACTCTTGAGTCTGGTGCCTTAGACCGCTCCTACTCACTGCCTTCTCGTGGCGGGGATGTTGTTTACGAAAATGAGAGGACGAAAAGCGAAAGTCCGGCGCTATAACCGGATCCCAAACCAATGGTGCACATGGGCTCCAGTATCCTAAAGGAACAAATGGCGTATGAACCAACTTTTGGTCACCGGCTTCCATGGGACTGCATCTCCTCACGATGCTCCACTGCCTTATGGACTAGACCTTTAGGTCAAATGCTCGGGGTGTGGCCCCCTAAGAAAACCACCTGCTTCGGTTTGGGCACCCGGGCAGTATCTCAGCCCACACACTAAAACCGTGATGAACTATCTGCTTATGGAACATATTCGTTTCTCTCCGACTAACATTGAAATGACTGGTACTATTATTATTATTATTGTTATTATTATTATTATTATTATTATTATTATTATTATTATTTACTACGTCATTTATTCACTATCTCCTATTTCTACTTTTTGTATCCGTTTCGACTCAGACAGCAGCTCGCCTATGGTAAAAATTCAGCTTTATCTAAACGTTCTCGAGTCACTGCCTGGTTGAAAATTGTATGTTGCCACCGAATACGAGTACTGAAGCAGTTTTTCTGAAACCACGTGCACCATTGGTGTCGTGGTATGAAAGAAAGCTGCAAAGGGCTAGCTTCTGTTGGTCCTTCACGACTCCCTGGTTGGGGTCCGAGAGACGGTGTAACGCAGTGGCTAGAGACGTTATCAGATATGGCTCAGAATAGATGCCAGTGGCGATCCTGCTGTAACCTTCTTTTACTTTCTTCACAAAAAATGGTTGTATCTTCCTTAACTGAAAGATCTCTTCTGATTGTACCTTTCCGTTCCCCCCACCATTGTTCTCTCTCTCTTTTTTTTTATAATTCCCCACGTTCATTACTTTTTTTTCTCCTTTCTCCTCTTCAAATTATCATTGTTTTGTGTGGCGCATATATATTTGGTGCCCCCCTGTACCAATATTTATGTGTTCAAATAAATAATAAATAAATAAATAATCAGGGGTGAAGTAGTCGAGTATACTGACTACTTGACTTATCTTAGTAGTCTCACTAGCCCTGGCAAGGATACAGGGAACTCGCTTTGGTTTTACTACTCTCTTTCACCCCCCAGACAACCCAAGTACATTGCACAGTGACTCACTTTACATTACTGTCTGGGAAACATGGTATATAAAAGTAGAAGACATATGTATGCTTCCTAATTTTGATTATAAGTGTCTTCGAAGCACTGTTCGATTAGCTTTGGATCACGAATCGAGCTATTCTGAGATTAGATGCAGGGTGCTAGGCAAGGATAACAATTCTGTTTGTAAGATTTTAAATCTTAATCAACTGAAGTGGTTAAAAGTTTCATCCACAATCACCACCTACCTCAACGCGTGATGTTAGCTTGTGTAGTAGTGATTTGAAAGAAAATTGGGGCATACAAACCAAAGCGTGGCATCTGTCTATGAAGTTGTATACTGTTAATCTGAGTTACGTTGGCAGGTGTAGACCTCCTGGTTGGTGTTGGGCTTGATTATCGTTACCAACATCTCAATTGCGACGTTGGGTCACATGGTTTAGTACTGTTCTGTGGGGCAGATCCATCCACTCTTCATCTTACCTTAGATACTGCGTTCCAAAATTGTTTTACGTCTTTTATTTAACAACAGTGTTCTCTAAATATGTTCTCTGTCCCTAACGTTATTATTTACTACAACTGATGCTACTATTACTTTAATATTCACCTGTTTAATTTCATTCTGCTGTGCTTATGCGATGTATGTGCTAGACTGTATGTTGATAGTGAAATGAAATGTTTCAACTGTCTCATCCACTTTGGTTTCAGAGACTTAGTATCATTACCAGTTCATAAAAACTGTGATTAAAAGCCAAGCTAGATCGCATGTAAATTATGAGTTCACTCTTACCATGGGATTGCATCTCTTCACGATGCTCCACTGCCTTGTGGGTCAGACGTTCAGGTCGTGAAAGTTTGTGCCTGGTTTAATAAATTAAGGTGTAGTTACTGGGTCTACTAATAAAGAATACTTGAGCACTAATATATACAATCAAAGATTGGGATAACTGATTACCAATAATTAGTGTGATCTAAATATTTCTGCCATTCCAGTCCAACCATCGATTCTACTGGTTCCATACAATCGTATCTCGTTTAAAGTGAATGTTTATGCATAAATAACTTAAATAAGTGACTTAACATTTATTCTAATTATCGATTTCATTTTGCTTTCAAACTACTCTTGGTTGATGTTTTTTTACGCTTTCTTAGGAAACGAATTCAGTATAAGGCTTACCATTAAAGTGGATAAGTTATGTAATTTAATGCAAGCAACGTTTCTTTTCTTGAATTTCTCATTTTCTAGTAAACTTAGTTTGTATATTTCAGTAGTGACGACTAAAAGATTCTTCTCTATAGCCATTCTGTTTTGATAGGTAATTCACAGCTAATATAAATCCATACATGATTTCTTAAATTTAGTTTAACCTAATCATGTGCTGTTAGATATCGTTTGTGAAAATTCAAGTAGTATTTGGGTTTACATTCGATAATTTTACATGTGTTCTTTTAAATACATTGGAAAGTCCCTATGTACTAGTCGTTCACTTAAGTCACCACAAAAAGACAAGCATTGAAAAATGCTATTGTGAACAGAAAATCTCAGTATTATTCTGACATAAAATACTTGTTGCATTGAAAGCACTAAAATACGCCACATAAAATGAAGTTGTCATGTTGTTAATCAATGAAAAAGAAAATAATTTAAGGAAGCAACAGTATGTATATTCTTTTTCCTTGGAGATGTCAATGTTAAACATGAAGAACTGTTGGAAACCCTCGGATTGAAGAATCCAGTCCCTACATGCTTAAGTCAAAACTGATCACGCTAAAGCGTTTCAAAGCTAGGTTAAGGTTACTGTGATTCTAAAAAGTCTGGATAGTGTCGTTCCTCATTTAATTATATGTAGATTATTCACATCTACCAAACTTCTGCTGACACCCAACTGTACTAAAGTCGACATCCCAATAACTAGATATTTTACACGTTGGCGGTATAGAGCACACATCCTGTCTACAAATACCGATCAGCAATTAAATACAAAATAAGTAGACTTTATCTTAAAAAGTTTCTCTGAATAACACATCTGAACTGCTACTGTGCTCTCCTCAATTTTGTCTTGAAAATATCACCGACGATAATCACTAAATAAACCATACCTTACCAGTCTTGGTTTGGAATTAGAGGAAACGCTAGTTGCGTGTCCTTACCATTGTTCCTTGTTTAATGGTTGTCTCCAATGGATCATAGATAACTGGCTAAAGGTTACTAAATATTCCATGTACTCAACAACAGATCTGTTTCTATAAAGTCGATTTTCAGGTGTTACTTAATCTGTGTGATACAATGTCAACCAGTATTCAGGATGCATAATAGCATACGCCAAGTATATTTTCGCGCATGTTTAGTCGGCCATTTCTATTATTGGTCTCATTTTAGAGTAGTGAATAATACTTGGTATGATATATCTGCTAGCCGCTTAGTTTGTTCGGTTTTCATTTACTCACTAGTTTATGTGTTAGTCGAAACAGTTAAAGCAGAGAGACAGTTAACTAACTTTTCTTTTTACCAACTAATTCTTTCTTCCTGTACCATATCCTTATATTCAGTATTTCTTTTATATATTACCACCATTGAATTAACTACTTCTATGAATCCGGTGTTCATCTTGTTGTGCTAATGAGGTATGACAACTTGGACCGATGCATATATGTGTCTGGTCCTACGTTGTAGCTGACTGACTAGGTGTATCTCATTCGGTTAGGCAAGTTTGTTTAGGATAATAAATTTGTTGCCTATCAAGAAATGAGGGGGTTTTATATGATATAGCATGCTCAGAATACAATCTGTTGTTCTAGATGCTGGTGTACTGGCCTACACACCCATGTTACCAGTAACTAGTTGTATTATGATCTATTTGAGTTCAGTCTTACATGTTAACTATTCAATATCTAATCCATTCTGTTTCGTAGATGTAGGTATATCTTTTTATTCGAAAGCAGTGCAGTTCAAGTAAAACCGAAGATGATATCACCTTCTATCGTTAGTTACGACCATTGTAAAATTGACATATCTAATAATTGCATTGTGATCCAGTTTGATGGTTTCCGCAAAGTTTCTTATCCACGTCTCTTCCCAATTTCTTTCTCAATTACCTGGTGTATCCTCTACCGCTGTAGGTGATTGCTCATGGCCATTGTCCAGTGAATCTTGCGTAAATAACTTCTTATTAATACCCGTAATTTTTGATAATGGCTGTGATAGTTCTCTGAGTTTTAATTCTGTTCAATGGAATCATTTTGACGTTTGTGTTCAAAATTCTGCCTTTATTCTTCATGGACAGTCCTTTTGAGTTCAATATATTCTCCAGTTGTAAAAATGTTGCTCTTGCTTCGCCAATACGTGCCTCGACATTTTCATTAAGTCATCCGTGCTTATCAATGATACTGCCCAGGCACGTGAAAGCTTCCACCTCTTCACACCAAGTGTGAATTAGTTGGTACTCTCAGTTTTGTACCTAGGAATCTTTCATTTTCTCTTTTGAATGTTAAAGCCGCTTCTACATAGCTGTCTTTGTCTGCCTTTGCTACTGTGTATACAATTGCAAAGCACAATCATCTGCAAAGTCCATTTTCTCTAGATGCATGCCAGGTGTCCGCTGTGCTCCGTTTTTTCATGAGCTGTATATGCCTTAATGATCCAGTCAATAGCGAACAGAAAAATGAAAGGCGAAAACAGCCAGCCTTGTTTAACACCAATCTTCGCTTACAATGTATCCGTTAGCTACCTTACATACATGAGTTTTTTATTTCGTCCCTCGTAAGAGTTCTGCATGATAGTGATGATCTTTTTAGACACTCAACAGTATTGATAATTCCACAAGGTTTTTCTATGCACATTATTGAATGCTTTCATAGTCAAAAAAGTTGATGCATACCGATGAGTTCCATTCAACTGATTGCTTAACAATGATTCGTACTGTCGTAATAATGTCGGTACATCAACAATCCTACCTATTAGTTAAAAATCAGGGGCTTTAGCCACTAACACACCTCTCTACCAAAGAAATATAACGGCATATAAAAATTATCTCTAAAACAAAATCACTTGTTTTCTTTTGTACGAAAGTCTTCAGGTCTGACAATTGTAAAGATTTGCATACACGATTTTCTATTATTTGTAGTAATATCAGTCTTCTGTCTTTACTATCAACATAAATCCAATTAGTATGAACAATACATCTTATCTTCGTGACTCATTTTATGAATAAATATATTTTAAGCAACCAGAAATTGGCTTTCGTTCAGACCTTTTTTGCTGACCTTCACCCTGCCATCACGTGTATGTCTCAAGGTCATTCTAAGGTGAACTCCGGTCTATATTAGGGTTGAATTATGCTTTGTAAGGGAATATCATTGAAAAAAAATACTAAAATAATATTTTTATTGAAGCTTTTACGGAATACCACTTATATACAATCAATTGATCTGGAATGATTTTTTTTTCATTTCTCTCTTATTTCATTTCAAAAGATTCTAGATAGTTTTGGCTTTTCAAAGATAAAATAAAAGTTCCGGCATAACAAACGTTTAACATTCTATTTCCATATTTTTTTTCATTTAGATGATAAAATCGATACTAGTCATCAATGTATTAGTTAATAATTATCTTTATCTCTGTTATTATTTATTATATCGTCTTATTCTTGACTGTAATAACAATTCAGAATAGGCGGGTTGTGGCTAGCACGGAAATCCAATATACGTGTTTTGTCCTGTTTGGTACGTGTTAGTTAGATATATCAGAATCCCAGTGTTGATGTACACATCAACAAAGATTGATTAAAATTTAGTCCTTTATATATCAAACTCTTACCACTAATGATATAATTAATGATAATTGTTTCGTTACTAGTTTATAGAAAAGACCCTACCTTATTATATAATATTGGTTGAACTGAAGCATATTATATCAGCTTGTTACATAAGTAACCGTTGTGACTATTTTCTCTTTACGAAATACAATGACTTATATACTCAGTGATCTTTATGTTTAATCCCATCATAGTTATTTTACTTTTGTAAACCGATTTGTATGCATATCACGTTTATGAAAACTCCCATCATATAATTGAAGAGTTATAATGGTTTTCTAAAAATACTGCTTATCATCTTACTTATTTAACTAAAGAAATTTAGTTTTGTACTCGAAAAGTTCTCTTTTTTACAGGTTGGATATTTATCCATTTATTTTTACGCTTCATTATGTTATAATTAAACGTTTTAATGATTTTAAGTCCTAAAGTAAATCACTCATTGTTCACACCATTAAGTAATTACAGGCGATTGTATTCCCCTGTATTGTCGTATCTAAACCTCGGATTATACATCCAAATTCACCGCTACCATTCCAATAATTCATCAACAGCAAACTTCTAAAATCTGTTGAAGTAATTAGCAATCTGGTTTTTTATTATTCTGTCAGTTGATCCATATTAAAATGTTTTTTTCTTGCTATTTTCCTTTTTAGACGCTTTACATTTATACATCACTAAAAGTTACGATGATTTTGCAGCTTATCGTAATTCAGGTTCAGTGCTTACTGCAATGCTTCCAGCTGTTCGCAAATTACATGAATTGCCGATTTCTCCAGAATCCCGTGCTTTACTTAGTGATACTCCCAATATTATACAAAGATCATCTGATCACAATCATATCTTATCAGTTTATCAAAATACTTTAACTTCTCAATCCTCCACATTAGCTAATTACTGTTCACCAATTACAAATTCCAGTGGTCCACTAATTAATACTGCAGCTCATTCTTATAACACTGCTTCAGGGAACACTTTATCAGGACTTGCAACAGCATCAAATTTAGCATCAAGTGTTGGTGGTCCAGCACCTGTGGATGAAATCACAGGTTTTGAAAGTGGTTATCATATGGATAAAGAATCAAATATTATAGTCTTAATTGGTGGATCATCTGTTTATGCATTAGCTCTAGCCGGTATGGATGAAATGTTCTGTTGGGCTGATAACTTAGCTCGTATCGTTGTTGGTGAGTTTTATTTCTCAATTTAATACCTTTTTTTCAAAAAAACAACCTCATTTTCTCTATTCCAAATTGTTCATCAAAGAAACGGCATTTTACAGAATTCTCATTTAGTCAATTAGCAGCAGTTGATTATTCTAACACTTTTGTCTTAAAATATTAGTGTATATTTCCTACTATCATATTTCTAAAGGTTGGTGGTCATTATCAACCGACTGTTTGTGTGTTATAAATAAATTGCTTTTTTATTCATTTCATTGGTATAATATCTGGATTCGAGTAAAACATGCGTATAAGCTAACTCGTTCACCGGGAATTTGGATATAAGTCAAACCCTGAAGGGTAGTGGTATTACCTGGTTACCCAAACCAAAGTGTAGCGGGGTTCAAACCTTGGACCGTTCCACAAGCCGATGACCTAGTTGTCAAGGTATTCGAATTTCAACCACTAAATCATAGTTCCCAACCCCGCTCCACCTACTTGAGCTTGGGCAACCGGGTAGTATCATTAGTCCTTACATTAAGGTGAGGTTCACACCCAACTACCCTGTGATAAAACTTACACTACTACCAGTACTATGTAAACAAGGTAAATATTCGTATAACTACTGTCAAAAACGTGTAATTAGTATACTATTCCACCAGTCTCTAAATATTCTTGTGTCTACGACTTTCAAGTATTGTAGATATCTCACCAAAAAACATCAGTGCTCTTTCAAAATAAAATGGAGATTACCGACATCTACCCAACTTACAGTTCTCTTTTCCTAAAACGTGAAATATCAGTGCTGATTGGACTGAGGTTAGAATGACATTATTGTCTACGTAATTCACTCTATGCATTATCACCTGAATACATAATTTCCATAATCAAGTCACTGAGATGTAGAGGCAAGCAAGGTTGTTAACTTGTTCGTTACTTTCGGTTTGTTCAACAGATCAGTTAGCATCGTTCAAAAAATGAAGTCCCATACTATGACGAAACACCTGTACAGAGCTTCTATGTTTCCACTGGTGGTCTAACATTGATCGGTTCATGATTTCAGCGAAATTCAACAATCTCCAGAACCCATTACAGACAATCACTTAATTAAGTTGGCCCTTGTGGTCTGGTGTGTGACGAAATCTCAGCACGGATACAGAAGGCTCGACTAGCTTTTGCCAACTTGCGTCATTTGTGGCGTAGGCGAGATATCCGTCTATCAACCAAAGGACGTGTTTACTGCGCAGCAGTTCGTACCATCCTACTTTATGGCAGTGAAACATGGCCAGTAAGAGTAGAGGATATTCGTAGGTTACTAGTATTTGATCATAGGTGTCTTCGAAACATTGCTCGTATATCCTGGGACCACCGAGTAAGTAATTCAGTTGTTAGGAAACGGGTACTAGGTAAGGATGGCAAATCAATTGATTTGAAGTAGTTAAACTTAATCAGTTGAGATGGCTGGGACATGTGTTGCGCATGCCCGACCACCTCCTGTCTCGACGTGCGATGTTTTCCGGTGTAGGAGTAGGTTGGAAGAAAGCTAGAGGCGGCCAGACCAAAACATGACACAAATCCATGAAGTCACTGACAAGTGGATTGAGCCATGTTGGTAGATGTAGACTACTTGGTTGGGGACCGCGAGATGATAGCAACCGATGGTTAGAGACCTTGAATGACATGGCTCAAAATGGTTTGCAATGGCGCAGGTGCATTCACTCTGTGTTCTCTCAAACTCTAATCTTCTGTATTCCTCATGTCCTTTATTTTCTTTCCAAATCTATTCCACTGGACTATACTCCTTAAATAACATCTTCAAACCGTAATGTTTCCGATTACTACTTATACTTTTACTACCTCTACCACTACGGGATTTGAATCGATAACTGAAACTCTGTGCTAATGTGGTATGGCAACTCGAACTGATGTACGTACGTACGAAGTTCTACGTTGTTACTGACTGACTGACTAAAATTATTAGCTCAATTATCCCAAATTTTTCTATAAATAAAAATTTCATGTAATTGCTTTCCCTTACGAATCTGGATCAAGCCAAAATAACAATCAAGGTAGAATAACATTATTTCATGATACTTTGTGGTTTCTTATCAGCTGCTTACAACCATGTATGTTTTAGAGTGTAACATTGAGATATGATTCAATATGAAATAATCAACATTGATGACGGAAGTAACCAGAACAAAGATGATCAATAACTATATATATATATATATATATATATATATATATATATATATATGCACATGAACAGGTGTAAGGTCGTTTGGAGATGGAATTCAACAAATTGGTCGTCGGGGATGAGGTAGTAATTAAGTAAATTCGGGAAATAGATAAGTCGTGTGATAATTAGGGAAGTTGTGAAGAGTGAAGTTTCAGATCAATTGAAAATAAATAAAGATAGTTTAGAAAAATGCGGTTATTATTATTATCTAGAATTAGAAATTGAGTGGTTACGTAATAATTAGACATGATTTGAAGAATTCACATAAGTTAAGAGAATGGAGTGATTAAAAACGCCGACAAATGAGAAAATGGTTCCGGCGTTCATGAAATGAGAATCAGTTTAGCGAAGATTGCATAACAAAAATAAATACTGAATAATCATAATCCCAGGTGATATTAGTCAAAGTTGCTAATTAACTAAGGTTGTAATAAGTTGGTTACTGCCTCTTTCTGGACACAAGTCCGGTTTGACTTTTTTATTTGCTACTGTTTTGGCGAATCGATGAGACGCTGCATTTTTAAGGTTTGATGAATGTCAACAATGTACCCTGTATGAATTAAATGCTGAGCTATTGCAACTTTGTTTCAAATTCTTCAAAACCTGCTCAGAGATGCAAATATGTATTCTTCTCTTTGTTCTTCCAATTTATGCGCTTTGGCATGTACATGTCAATTGATAAATGCACTTGAAGGTATTGAGAAAAAGGGATTTGTTAATGTTACACTTGAATACATATATGGTTGTAAGTAGCTGATAAAAAGCCATGAAATATAATGAATTCATATTATTCTACCTCGATTGTTGTTTTGGCTTTATTTACAATTATAAACATTGATAGTTGTAAATACCTTCCCATGTTTACTATTTTACCGAAATAAAATACCTTCCAACTAATTTTTTCTTGTTTATTTTGCAATAAAACAAGTTCATAAGTGATTGGTATGTGTTATAATCGATATTATTTATAAAATTGTAGGGTTAACAATAGGAATTTTTATTTCATTAATCATAACACATCACAACTAATTTACCAAAATGTATCCCACATATATATTCTTGATATTAGACTGTTAATATAAGTTACTTGATTCAGTACTATAGATTTTGTTACAGTAAAAAAATTCTTAACACCAGTTATTTAATATGGTAATAAGTTTCTACCTAACATAACCTACCTACATACATGTATCTTAGAAAAGCTTCCCAATAGTGTCACCATTTGTCATTCATCTTGAGTTGCGAAAGTTTTCAACCAATTTAACTGTACGATCACTTTTTTTCTTTTTTATACACTAAATCCATGAATTTCAATCCCCATCACATCTCGTTTCTTTCAAAATTAGATAAGAAAAAAGATATTCTGTAAACAAAGACATTTCTTTTTGAATTTCACAGTATTTGTCATCATGATAAGTTGTAAGCTTATCATAGAAACACATGGTTAGCATCTATAATTATTCAAATGAATGAAGTATGAAATAAAGTTTATCTCTATATTTTCACAGTTGGAAAATAGGTGCCCTAAACGATTAAACAGGTCTCCTAGTAATTACAGTACACATATTTTCAACCAATAATCCACCTACTTCTAGTTGGATAGCCATCACTCAATATCCCTCACATTATTTTACATTCGTTTTCTTGATATAAGATTATGATATTACTACCGCTGCTTGATTGTTTGTTTCGGTGTACAATTTTCATCATAACATGAAAGAACGTCAGAACTCCAACATTATTGTTATGGTTAGCCAAATGGTTACGGGACTCTACTTCTATTAGTGTATTTAACGTGACTCAAAGGTGATTACATAAATCGTGCTTGATGAATAAGTTACAACATAACCCCCAGCATTACATCATATATAAATATAGCAACTGATGGCTAGAGGCCCTGAATGACGTGGCTCAAAATGGTTTGCAATGGCGCAGGTGCATCCACTCTTTGTGTTCTCCCAAATTCTAGTCTTCTGAATTCTTCATGTCCCCTTCTTTTTTCTCTTTCCAGATTTATTTCACTGTATTATACTCCTTCAATAACATCTTCAAACCGTAATGTTTCCGATTACTACGTATACTTTTACTACCTCTACCACTACGGGATTTGAATCGATAACTGAAACTCTGTGCTAATGTGGTATGGCAACTCGAACTGATGTACGTACTTAGGAAGTTCTACGTTGTTACTGACTGACTCAATAAAAAATAGTTAATGTTCAAATATACTACTGTTGTTCATTAATTAAAGTGTTTATCTTTCAGCCACTAATTTACAGGTTCCAAAAAAATTTTATTTCCTTCCTTTTGGAGTGCTGAATAGAGTATCACTAGCTCTCACATTTGAAGCATAGTTCAAAGCTAAGTACTTAAATCTGTACCTTATAAATGAGTTATGTTCAAATGTGTACATATTTCCTAAACTGAAAATAAAGTTAACTAGTTATAATGTATCAAAGGATATTCTTTTATTTATCTTCATTGACACTATTTATTATTATTATTATTATTATTATTTGAAATGTACATATCTACATAATTTAATAGAAAAAATGTTTTGTTTTAATGTTGGACAATTTTGATATTGTGCCAAAATGTTCGGTATTTTGTTTTGTGTAATCGGTGAAAATAATTCATACACAATTAACTCGTCATGTTCAAGTGTGCTGTTAGAAAATAAAAGGAATAGTCTGATGTTTTATTCTATCTATTTGTATATGATTACACCAAGAATGCGCATATTAATAAGAGATTATTTACAAATATACATAAATGTGAACTA